AATTTTAAGCGAACTATTCTTCAAGAAATGAGGGCCTCAGGTTACCCGGAAGAGGGAATTGCTATGAAGAAGCTATTGAGTTCTAACTCAGTCCCAAGTGAAAGAGAGTTGTTCCGTTATTCACCTTTCCTTTCTGTGACTTGCAGCGATTTGGTTGTTTACCACAAGAAATTAATGGGTCAGATTGACCTTACTACGTCTTTCTTTTATCAAATCAGTGTTGAACCCGAGTCCTGCACACTAGTGACAAGACTCGGTGTAACGACTGACGTGACATGAAGGCATCTTTCAAAATGAGCTCGCATTTGCCCATCTGGCACTCTAAATGAGTCGCACGTACCAAAACCTGGAGGCCGAATTGGTGACGGCGATGTATATTTCCGTGAACAATTCTTCGACATTACTTCGCTGAACAATTTAATCACATGATTGTTGTATGAGCGTTGTGCGGTGTGGATCATGCCTTTCAATGGATGACTGGATGACTAACCCACATTTGAAGGGCCTGGGCTAAATGCATGACTTCCGCTGTTTCACCCCTGTAGGCCTTGAGGACCATTTGCATATGCTTTAGCAAGCCATGACTCTCGCAGCCCTGTGTGCGCCGGTAGTCCTCCGGTACCTGATTCACCGTCGGTGGATGTGATTGCGCTCCAGACGTATATACGGGCCGTGTGCATGGTTGTTTGGTGAACTGTATCCTCTTTCTGACCTGGAGTGGGTACCGGCTGGTGGCGCCTGACGAATTTGCGGGCGGCTTGGTAGAGACGGCGACGTCAACATTGTTGGAGGTGACTGATGTTGTTGTTGTTTGTCCATACACCTTTTTTGTCTCACCGTCAGGGCTCTAGACATTCCCGACGGCAAACTATAGAAGGAGGCCGCAAATTAACGGACAAGTTGAGACCGTGTATGAACATCAGATTACGCGTTTGCAAAAGTGTAGTATGCGAACGCAGGAGTCATACATGTTATATTTTATTTATCAGAAATGTATAATTCTAATATAACTTAGCTTAAACTGACTTAATCGAATATGCAATATTGTGCGCAAACATAAATCGCCAAGAGTAAGCAAAGGAAACTCCGAAGGGTAGATAGCCGAATATAAAAGCACTGGCCTTTTATGCATGCTGCAAAAAAGCTTATGGATAAACTGAGGATGCATGTTAGATTTTGTTTCATTATCAGTAACATAAGTCGAATGATTTCTATCACACATCGTAGACGTGTGAAAGGGAAACAACTGTCAATCAATTGGTCTACTGATGTTTTTAAAAAGGCAGGTTACACTGATTCTAAAATCAAAATGGGACAATTGTGGTTCTTTACGCCATGAATGGCCAACTTTTGAATCGGTCAAAGGAATATTTGATATGTGCACTGTTCATGCAACCTCTCAGTTTTGAACTTTACCTCATAACAACAAAAAATATAGTCCCAACGAAAAAAACCGATTCCCGAGTCGTTAGGAAAATACCCCAATACCACTATTTTAGTCGTGCCTGCGACTATCTATGCAGCTTTTTGAAGAATTAAGAGGTTCCTTGTTACATATTTAGGTGGACTTTAAATTGGTGACGCCAACTGATCGTGAAAAACAGGTGAACAAGGAAGGGGTCGAAGGATCTTAGTGGGCTGTCAAGGAGGCGTACACGTTATGTAAACAGAATTCAAATATGTGAAACATGTGGTCGTAGGTTTTCATATGGGGACCGGAAAGAGGACTGCGGTTAGGGCTCGTTTTTTCCAAGAGGATGTCAGACTGGCGAGACATAAAGTTGCTGGATATAGATTGTCGACAGCTGCTGTCCGGATGGGCGGAAATGGTCCGAGATTTTTTTCAAACGTGCCCTCTTTAACAGTGTCCAAATCAACATGTCAGTTACCATCGGCTGCGTTGGAGTATCAAGTCCCGATAAATCTTCGGATTCGCTTTGTTTTGGCCGCAATAATAACTATCGCAATGTTTCCGATGAAGTGATAGTCAGTGTCAGGTTGTTGCGCAAAGACAAGGTGGGGTTGTGAGGCAGGTTTTGTTCCACAGTGTAAATTCATTGGCAACGAACTGTATGGCCAACGCACACGTAGACATAAGTAGCGTCGGGATGAAGAAAATGACGTTGATCCGCTGCCCCTTGTGGATGGAATTCTCTTTTTAAGACTATGCTGCATAAAAGTAAAATACTGGACTGATAGGGATGCAAGTATCAAAAAAACTCCTTATTGACCTACTGTTCATGCGTTGTGGACGCATAAGCAAGAAAGTAGAATCTCAGCAGAGTAGGTTCTTTTTCTGTAACTGGGGCTTTGTAGATTTCTATGGGATCTAAGGTTCATATCACACACCCGCTCTGTCATCTCTTAGGCCGAAAAAACTGATTCAGGAAACCTAGCCCCGTCTTTAACTGACAATGTCTGATGTGAATTTGAGTGTCCCTGGGGAAAAAGGCTTGATCAAGCTTTCGTTGTTAACTTAAAGGTGATTGTTCTTACAAATATGGTCTGCCTTGGCATCAGCTTTTCTTATACGCAGTCTTTACTAGGTTACCATCATAGCTCATCATATGGTCACATCTGAAGATGTTAGGTCCTCTACTGGTGCCCCTTCTCAACAGATATTTATACCCAAAATGTTAACATCCATTCCGTGACGTAACTGTTATAATTTGTAGTTTATGTGATAAGGAGGGTGTCATCCACATAACAAAGACGTATTTGTGACTTGGAAGTTCAAACGCTGTTCTCTCATGGACGTTCTGTCAGTTTAGCAAAGAGATTGAGACAGGCTTGTTGTCAAGAGAGCTTGAGCAATTGTTATATATGCTATAGTGAGAAACAGACAGGATTGCTAGAAAAGCCTCGAGGTAAGTCTTCACATGTTCAACGATTTAATATCAAGAAAACCAAAGCAAGGTGTTCGAAAGACAGCCTATTTTGCTGCACTTAAAGTTGCTCACGGGATCAGGGCTAACGTTAGCCCTTTGCCAATGTGTCTGATGAAGATTCAGTCTAACCTAGTAGACGACAGCCCAGTCGAGCGGCCCACTGTATGAATAGACGGCAAATTTTCAGAAATTAACGGGGCCTGCATAAGGCGAATATCTCACTACCTTGGCCTTAATCAACGAACGTTTACTTATTATCCCAGAGCCGGAAAAATTGCACCAACCGAACACCCTATTAGAAGCAGTCCACTGTTCCACATATTAGAATACAGTAGGTGGACTAAATAATGAAATGTCAACCAAAATTCCGAAATGCGTTTTCGTTTTAAAAAGATCAATTAAGCAGGGTTGTAATACTAAACATCGTGCTGCATAATTCTATCATAATTCAGTTACCTCTGGATGACGGCTTTCAAACGAACTTCTTTCCGTCTGCAAGCAGAAAACTATACTCTGTAAAAAGTGACTGTTTAAGTAGCATGCATTTTCCTCCTTAATTTTCGATGCCGTCAAATATTCAATCATATTTCGTAAAAAACACGCATAAGAATATTTATTCTTTCGTTCATTCGCTAGAAAATGACGTCTTCTTCCAATTTTGTACTCGAAAGATAGGTATAATTTAGTTTTTTAAAGTTTATAATTAGGAAATTTTTTAATATCGTGAAATGGTCGTTCATAAAACCTCATGTTTCAGAATTTACCAATTTGGCTTATAAAGTCAACAGTATGGTTCAAATCCACCGATAAATTTCATGAACCCCATATGGTATCCACTGAATACCGTAGAGAAATGTATGGTTTTCCGTACGCTGAAAATTTACGGCTTGTAGTTTGAAAATCCTGAATACACATGTAACGGCAGTTCGGGTTCAAAATTATTTAAGAATTGGAAAAGTTTTTGAAAACCGAAGTATACCCCTCCTTTAAGTATAATATTGGAAGAAGAGGTCATTTTTAAGGGTGTCGAAAAAGAAAGCGAAAAATGCATGCTACTTAGGCAGTCATTTTTTACGGAGTATGCTTCTTAGATGCAGCCGGAAAGAACTTTGTTCGAACGCCGGCGTCCTGAGGTAACTGAATTATTATAGAATTATGCTGCATGAGGATCGGTTTTACAATTCTTTGCAATTAATCTTTTCGAAAGGAAAACGCATTATGGAATTTCGGTTGACATTTCATGAGTTAACTCACCTATTGTACATGGGCAATATTGGTAGAAGTTGTCTATTCAGTCTATTTAGTCAGAATGCCGATCTTAAACCTAGCGGGCCTAGAGAAGTTGACTATATGAAGTCGACTATGGCTAATTGCTGTCAACAGTACTTAAGGAAGGCTCCAAAAAACAAAGGTCCCTTAACAAGGGCCCATCTCGATAGCCTCAGCAAACTTCGTAAGAACGAAAACATTGTGCCAACCAGGCCAGATAACGGTTCAGGAGTTGTACTGATAGATAGAAAAGAGTACGTCGAAAAACTAGAAGCAATCTTGTCGGATCGTATCAAATTCTCGAAATCCGAGAAAGACAGGGGCCGCACCGAGGCCGTTGAAGGTCAGCTGACGGCGGTTCTCAAAGTTCTTCACAAAGAAGGTCATTTATCTGACAAAGAATATGAGCAAATAAGACCAGTGGGCACGGCCACAACCAGAATGTACTGCCTTACAAAAATTTACAAACACGGGCTACCCCTACGTCCAATCCTGGATATGAGGAATTCGCCCTATCGCACCATAGCAAAGTGGCTAGTCGAACAGCTTAAACCGTTGCAAAGTCATCTGTACCCCCTAACTCTGAAGGACTACTTCGAGTTTGTTGAGGCGATTATGGATATTAACGTTGACGGACGGAGGATGCTATCGTTTGACGTAGTATCACTGTTTACTAATGTACCCGTAGCCGAAACAATAAACTACCTTTGTGACGTTATCCGCGACACGAACTACCCGTTATGCATGCCGTTGGAGACGCTAAAAGAACTACTAACACGGTGCACGCAAAACGTCCAGTTTCTCTGCAATGGTCAACTGTACAGGCAAATAGACGGCGTAGCGATGGGCTCACCCCTCGGCCCAGTCCTCGCAAATGCCTTCATGGGCAAAGTCGAGATGACAAGTTTACAAGACACCATTAATGACCTCAGATTCTACGGTCGGTACGTGGACGATATTTTCTGCCTGACGGATGTTACCACCGACACAGACGCCCTGATTCAACAATTCACACCCCTCGCTAACGTTCTCTGCAGAGTTTGAGGCAGACAATGAAATCGCGTTCCTGGACGTTCTTCTGCACAGACAAGAAGATGGATCTATCCAACGTAGGGTATTCCAAAAGAAAACCTGGACGGGACATTACATTTCTTTTCACAGTTTTGTTCCCCTAAATATTAAACGCAATTTGGTCCAGGGATTGGCAGCTAGAGTGCGATGCATCTGCTCTCCTGAGACTGTGGAGGCAGAACGCCAGCAGCTGCGGGATACACTCCACGAAAACGGATATCCAGAAAGATTTATCCTTCGAAATATAGGGGAGCGCACTGCAAAACCTACCATGGCAACTGCAGAAAAGAAGGACTTATTTATAAGATTGCCTTTTCAAGGAGACGCAGCAAGTGAACTGGTAAAAAGACGTCTGAAGACAGCGATCACTAGCGCTTTCCCCGCGGCGAACTTACGTGTATGTTTCACTAACTCTCCCCTCCTACGCTTGGGAGGTAAAGACCGACTCCCGTTGCAGGCCACATCGATGTGTATTTATTCATTCACTGGCTTCTGTGGAGCGGGGTACATTGGTCGTACAACGAGGCGCTTGGAAAAGAGGGTACGTGGACACATACCGGTCTAGCTAGGCAAAGTTGAAAAGAAATCGATCTCGAGTTCTATTCTCGCACATCTTTTCGATACGAATCACCGAGTCGATGCCAAAGAAGCCTTTCAGATTGTCGACCGGATACCAGGAAGCTTCTCCAGAGGCCTACGCCAACGGGTGCTAGCTACAGCCGAGGCAGTGGCTATAGGGCTAGAAAATCCAGTGCCATGCTGTCAGAAGACTCTGACACAGGCGCTCTGACTTCCGTGGCCAACGCCGACCCCAATGTCGCCCCAACCTCCTGATGGCAGGGTGTGTGCACAACGTACCCGACGTACTCACAGCCTATGTCCCCCCTCTCCCTCGCCCCTTTGACCCAATGACCACGACACGCCGACCACGCCATAGCACGCCTCGTCATGCGAGTGGCGTGGGAACGATGATTGGCGGGTGAGCGATGGATGTTAATTGTCCCCCAATCACTTGTAAGCCATGTAATTCGCATAACTTAAACTTCTTTGTAACCGTTTTGGCCTGATGAAGAGTTACCGTAAACACGTGTTCGCCAATTTGACTTTTGAAATTGTGCACTGTTTGACAATATTATTTTTCGAAGAATAGAGGAGGCAAACACACGAAAATTCCTTGTTAACCTATATAATGCTCGTTCATGCAGACTACTCTATTAGTAAAGTAGCACTAATTGGCAGCTTTCAAAAATCTTCTTAAATTATATTTTGGATAAATGCCCACTAACAATTTTGTAGATAGTGGATAGTTGAAAGTCTCATATTGAGCGAAATCTCCCACAATGTCTTGCAGATATTTGGGCGCTCAAAGGGACTCCAACGTACGGACTGGCTAAGTGGCTGTTCCGGCGTCTCAAGTTCCTGACCGCTGAGTCAGACACCACGGTCTCTTCGCCAGCAAAATTCCAGGAGAAACTCAAAGGGGCAAGCCTCCATCCAAATGCGGTTATGGTATCTTTTTATGTTACACCCCCTTTTTACTTCTATTCCCCAGGACCTGGCGATCGAGACAATTGAGCTGCTACTACAAAGCAAATACGATGAAACGGAGAATTGTCCTGTACACGCCCAAATCCTTCAGCACCTGAAGCTCTGTCTCAGGACGTACTTCACGTTCGACGGGACAATCTACGAACAGGTGAAGGGCACACCAATGGGTTCACCGATTTCGGGGTTCATCGTTGAGGCGGTCCTGCAACGGTTAGAGTCGCTGATCTTCCAACACCACAGGCCGAAATTCTGGACACGGTATGCAGATGATACTTTCGTCGTCATCAATCGGGATCAGGTGCTGACGTTCAAAAACCATCTCAACGCCGTCTTCCCGGACATACAATTTACGATGGAGGAGGAAGAGAACAACCAGCTGGCCTTCCTGGATGTCCTCGTATGCCGCAAGGATTGTGGTGGACTAAAGACCAAAGTGTTCAGGAAAGCGACAAATACGATGCAAGTACTGAACTTCAACAGCAACCACCCAATCAGCCACAGACGCAGTTGTGTAAGGACGCTCTATCGGCATGTCGAAACGCACTGCAGGGAGCCGGAAGACAAGATCACTGAAATCCAGTAAGTGGGCTAACTTATGAAAACTCAACAGAAATTCCGAAATGCGTTTCCGTTTCGACAAGATTAATTAAGTAGGATTGTAAAACTAAATATCAAGCAGCATAAATTCATAATAATTCAGTTACCTCAGGATGCTAGCTTTCGAGCGAACTTCTTCCCGACTGTATCTAAAAACTAAACTCCCTGGAAAATGACTACTTATGCAGTATGCATTTTTTTATTGATTTCCGATACCCTTAAAGATTCATTTATATTTCATGAAAAACATACATAAGAAGGCTACATCAGAGGCTGAATAATGTCTTTCCGGCCATACACTTCACCCACGAAGAGGCAGAAGGAGACAGTCTGTCGTTTCTGGACGTAAAAATACAGAGGCAGGCCGACGGCAATCTCGCAACTAGCGTCCATAGAAAAGAGTCTGATTCTGAGATCATCTTTAATTATGGAAGCAATCACCCTGCGGCTCACAAAGGAAGCTGCGTCCGAACTCTCTTCCACCGGGCCTACGTTATTGCAGCAATGACGATCTGCTGAAGAAAGAACTAGGTTATATATATCGGCTATTTCGATCTAACGGGTACCCGGTCAGTTTTGTGAAGAACTACCTCAGGCGTCGGGCACAAACTCGAGGCCCCTCTTCAGATGGAGAAACCGTGACCGAGAAATTCCTCCCCCTGCCCTATATGCAGGGCACCTCAGAACTGATCGCCCGTCAGCTAAATCACTTCGGTATCCGCGTTTCCCACAAGCCTGCGTCCTCGCTGCGCACAGTCTTAATTCGAGTAAAGGATTCTATCTCCAAAGAGGAACAGACTAACGTCCTCTATCGCATCCCGTGTGCCAACTGTCCCTGCGTATATGTTGGTCATACAGGACTAGCTGTCTGTTGTCGTGATCCAGTGCGACCACCGTTTTAATTGGGATAACACCGAGGTCAACGCCACGGCCAACACAAAACGGGCGAGAGAAGTCCTAGAGGCATGGCACTCTAACGCGGACAGCATCAACCGCCACGTTGACCTAGACGCCCATTATGAGGGCCTAAGATCACGCCTCACTAAGCCGAGCCCCACGCCGCATCAGCAGCCGTTAATCCAGGCGCCCGCAGCTCTGCCAACCAACCATTCTCCCTCCCCTCCAACACGGGGAGCCGTAACGTTTCCCCCCTCCCCCTTCCTGCCCTCCCGGCTCAGAACCCAGCATGACGCCCCCATCCCTCCTCACACGCTGATGGTCTGCCCGTCCATGTTTGTCCTGTCGCGTCTACTAGTCTAGTCTGACTGTCTCAGTCTCTTTTTTCTCTTCATTTCGTCTGACGACGGGTTGGTGTCACCAATTCGAAAATTCACGAGTACAACTCGATTTTTCCGAAGAACCTCTTCCCTTTTCATACATAAAAATATTCATTATTTTACTCATTTGGTAAAAATTACGTCTTCTTTCAATTTTACGCTCAAAGGAAGTGTACAATTTGGTTTTATAAAACTTTTCTGATTCCCGAATAATTTTGAACCCGACCTGCGGTTGCACTTGCATTCAGGGTTCGCAAAATACAAGCCGTATATCTTGTGCGCACCGAAAACCATACATTTCTCTACGGTATTAGGAGGAGACTATAGGGGGTTCAAAAAAATAAGCAGTGGATTTGAACCACATTGTTAACTTTACAAGCCACATTGGCAAATGCAGAGACATGATGTTTTCTGAATGGCCATTTAACGGTATTAAAAAATCTCACAATCAGAAACTTTTTTATACCTATCCTTCAGGTGTAAAATTGAAAGAAGACGTAATTTTCCATTGAATGACCAAAAAATGAATATTTTTTGTATGGTTACTGTAAAATATAATTTAATATTTAAAAGCATCGAAAAAAATTAAAAATTAATGCTGCTTAAGTAGTCATTTTTTGGGAGTATGGTTTTAGATGCAGTTGGAAATAAGTTCTTTCGGAAGCTGGCATCCTGAGGTAACTGAATTATTAGGGAATTATGCTGCATGATGTTTAGTTTTACAACCCTATTTAATTAATCTTTTCGAAACGGAAACGCATTTCGGAATTTCTGTTGACATTTCATGTGTTAGCCCACCTACTGTACAGTAAATCCGACGGGTCTTCAAAGCCAATAGCTACCCGCGCAACGTTGTCAACCGGTGCATACGCAAAAGGGACGAAAGGCCTAACTTCACGGACCCCAAATTTTGTTGAGCGCTTTCGTATGTCAATAACGTTTCCGAAGCTGTCGGCCGCCTTTTCGGCTACGCCAAGAAACGCCTGAAGTCGTTTATCGGGTCTGGTGCAGTTGCGGACAAAGTAACTACGTCGTAGAGACCGGGAGACAGCTCCGAACGAGAATGGCTGAACACGCTGCAGCGGTGCGGAGAAATGATGCCAGCTCCCAAGTTGCGGCTCATTCGACGAGATCCGGCCACACATTCAGATTCGACAAGGCCGAAATTCTCCCAAGAGGTGACAACCACGTGAGCCGGGAACTGCTTGAGCCATGGTTTACTGACTCCCAGTCCGTTAGCAAGTGCACTGATTTCCCCCTTCCATATTCAGTGCTGAGACTTCGCCTAGGCGGAGTAATTAGCCACGCGGGAAGCGCACAGGTGAACACTTCTTCCAACACCAGGGTCGGTGGATCAGATGGTCGAGCAATCATCACACTAACACCCAAACGCACGTGATGAAATTGCGGCAATTAACGACGCGAATGTCGGCCAACAAACAGTCAGCACACCAAGTGCATCGATCCCTAATGAAGGGAGGCACGGTGAATATTCATAGGTGTGCGGCAGCATGGCGACTGCATCCTATAAATACTGCAACCCCTTGTGCATGAACCACTCGTATCTGCTTTTGTCTCTGATGATCGGTTCGAGCAGGAATCCGAAATGTCCGGATAATAAAGCTTTTGTCCCAGAGATCATGTCTCCTTCTTCAAAATTCTTACCTTTTATTATTTATGCATCCTGCTTTACCTCATTACCATATGATGATGGTGATACTATCTTCATCTTTTACGCTTATCGTAGAGGAAATGGGAGATCTCTACAAATGCTAGTTCTGAAAATGTTTTTACTTAGGCAAAAAGCTTTCCCGATAAAGCTTTTCATTAACGAATACTTTGCAAAGGTATGTTACAGATGAATATCCACGTCGTTTACATCCTGTATTTATCCTGTCTAATGTTGACCATCCATGTTTAATCAAGAGTGATTTTTTTCACAAACGAAAAAACTCCCTCTCATGCATATTTGGAGAGCTTTTATATTTTTTGCCTTTATTCCTTGTCCCGTTCTGAACTTCTGCTGCGCCTTATAACAGCAATATAAATAATAATAAGTTACCCCAACGGCTAAAGACGGTACGCCTTCCGTCTAAACAAGACGTAATAAATGACAACCATCCGCACTATAACGTCTTACCACAAACTCAGTCACAAAGTCGACCATTCAATGGATGACCTTTACGTGGTTGCGTTCAAATTATTTTGGCCTGCATAAAACGTAGGAGGTTTAGGGTATAATAAACGAAAACAGGTTACAGTTGCCTTTTTAAGCAAAAACGGACACAAGTACGCACATCAGAACTTTAAAAGAAGAAAATGACCTCAGTGTTTAGGCTGAATCTACCAATAGAGAGAAAAACGTTTCAAACTGCTGAGGGTTAAAGCCCTCTCGTTAGGGTCTATGCTCTACTGCGCAAATATGCGTACTTGCCCTCATAAAATAAACAGCACTATGATTTGCGTCGGGGTAAAAAAGGGTCGAAGAATCCTGTTGAAAATCTAAAGTTTTCGTTAATGAATGCTTTACGAGCGCGTTTTACGCGACAAAAACGCCTCTTTGCATGTCGTGTTCAGTGCCTGGTGAAAATCACCCACAAATGATCCGATACAGTGGAGGAATCAATTTCTTTTTTAAGTAATTTTGACATAGTGCATGCGTAAAATGCTTTTCATCACCTGACTGTATTCGCTAGAAGATAGGGATGCGGCAGTTTAGTAATAAAACCTGTAAGTGGACATGAACCGTCGAGCAGAGGATAGGACATTTTTTAGGATCTTGACTGATTCACGCGAATTGCATAAACGGAGTTCGAGGGCTCGGCAGTTGGTCTTTCTGGCAATTCTACTTTTCGTTTCTGGGTGTTCGGTTCCCTCGCAAGGTAAATGCAATTAGGTGCCTTTTCCATAATTGACTTTGATTACTTTGCGCACATAGACTATTGTATTGCGTTCGAAATCCAGTTTGCATACAGTGAGTGACCTATCTCATGAAATGTTGGCTGAAATTCTGAAATGCAGTTTCGATTAGGAAGAATTACTTGGTCGCGGTTGTAATACTGCTTATCTTCTGGCAAACTCTTATAACATTTCTGACTTGGCAGGATGTCGGCTTTTCAATGCACTTTTTTTCAATCTCCTGTAGAAACCGTGCTGGGCAAAAATGACTACTTAAGTAGCATGCATTTTTTTCCACTGATTTTCGATGGTCTTGGAACTTCAAATATATTTTATAGAAACCATAAACAAAAATATGCTTTCTTTTAAGCAATCAATAGAAAATCACGTTTTCTTTATATTTTATAGATAAGTAAGGAGTATAATTAGGTTTTACAAAAGTTTTCTAATTTCCGAATAATTTGGAGCCTGATCATTCGTTGTATTAGCGCTTAGTGATTACCCTCTACAAGTTGCATGCGTTCAGCGTAAAAAAAATCACATATTTTTCTATGTCATTAAAGAGATATCATACAGAGTCCATATAATTTTGCAATGGATGCGGACCATAATGTAAATTTCATGAGGAGCAGTCCTAAACGGCCAGGTACGATGCTATGTGAATGGACATTTCGCGGACTTAAAAAGTCTCATAATTAGAAACTTTTTTAAAACCTAATTATACTCCTTCCTTATCTATAAAATATAAAGAAGACGTGATTCTCTATTGATTGCCTAGAAGGAAGCATATTTTTGTTTATGGCTTCTATAAAATATATTTGAATTTCCACGACCATCGAAAATCAATGAGAAAAATGCATGCTACTTAAGTAGTCATTTTTTGCCCAGCACGGTTTCTACAGGAGATTGAAAAGAAGTGCATTAAAAAGTCAACATCCTTCCAAGTCCGAAATGTTATAATAGTTTGCCACAAGATAAGGAGTTTTACAACCGCGACCAAGTAATTCTTCGTAATCGAAAACGCATTTCAGAATTTCAGCCAATATTTCATGAGATAGGTCACTCACTGTAGGTATTTTGCCATTTTGCTCAAACCTGCTTTTTAGTTGTTAGTTTTTATAAACTGGATCCCCCTAAGAGGCATTTCAAATGTTTCGAAGCTCCGCCGCGTTATTCAAAATCTAGTGCCGTTATCTCCAGGCAAGGAAGTACATGGAAATTACAAAGAATTCACACAAGCGTCTTTCCTGCCCGTACCTTTCGGTTTGACCGGAAGCAGGTTGATAAACATCTTCTAGCTTTAAACATACGAGTCTGTGATGCAAGAAGGTAGGTTTTGAGACGCATATGAAAGCATTAGATTCAAGCCTGCATTATTAACTTGGCACACCAAAGTTAACAGGTATGCCGATAATGTGAGAGGGCGATTCCTGGATGTCTTCAAAGTACATGTCACTGGTACTGAAAGGCATATATTTGGACGACTATTTAAAGCCGCAGATGAGGATTGATAGTTCACAAGCCCCGCATCCAGCATAATTAATGTTTGCAAAACACGCGAAGGGTGCGAAAGCAACAAGGGCCGATTATGTGTCGCCGATTATGTTATCCGAGATTTTTATGAGATGAGGTCTATCGAATAATAGATTTTTTATTGAACCTATTGGTAGAATTATCTAAGTAAAAATGTCGGACCAAGTATTTCTGATGACATTCGGCATAACAACGGCCTGTCGCTCAGTAGTAGAGCGTGAACTTGAAAACGCCCTATGACCGACTAATCCAGGATTGAATCCCAGGTCGAGCAATCCTGGGGTGGGGGAAGGGCTGGCTGACGACGCATAACGAACCGGAAATGGTCATCCAAGTCCCCTTTATTCGTCTGTATTCCTTAATATGTGTACCTCATTTGAACACCTACGGACCTAACGACACGCATATGCCGACAATTTTTGCAGATAATCAATCGGAGTATTTTGTAAACATGCATTAAACGTAGTTACTCCTTGCCAATTGGTATATTGGGAATAAAAATCGGTTAGAATGTCATCTGCCTCAAGGTTGACGTATAATTTTCGCCTAATT